AAAGCTGTCTTCACGTCTAGCTGCTCGAGCTCCAAGTCATAATGTGCCACTATTGCTAGTAGCACTCTGATCGAAGTATGTCTGACCACTGGTGAGAAAATTTCATTGTAGTCAACTCCTTCCCTCTGCGAGAAGTCTCGTGCAACCACCCGAGCTTTAAATTTCATGCCCTCTTTAGAAGTGATTCCTTCCTTCTTCTTGTAGATCCACTTGTTTGTAACAATCTTCCTCCCTGTGGTCGTTTGACTAGCTCCTAAGTCTGATTCCTGTCATGGGATTCCATCTCATCTCCCATTGCGGCAAGCCACAGATCAGCTTCGCCACCCGAAACGGCTTCTCTATAGGACTGTGGCTCTCCTGCATCCACTTCCTCAGCAACCTGAAATGAATATGCCACCATGTCCTCGAAGCCATACCTCTGTGGAGGTACTCCTGCAGTCGCTCTCTTCGGTCTACCAGAAGCTATAGACTGTTTAGCTCGTGCACTAGACTCTGAAGTTTCTGGCTCTGCAGAGACATCCTCATCATGTTGATCTTCACCACCTTGGTGCTCAAACTCACTCTCTTTGAGAGTTTGCAGCTCCACCTGTTTATGAACATTCCTGCTACCTTCAACAATAGTGACCTTCAACATGGGGTTAAACATAGACTTCTCATCAAATATCACATTTCTACTGAGTATAACTCGATGCTCAGAAGGCGACCAGACTCGAAATCCTTTAACTCCATCTCCGTAACCCACAAATACACCCTTCTTTGCCCTTGGGTTCAGCTTACCCTCATCCACATGATAATAAACAGGACACCCAAACACTTTCAGTGAAGAGTAATCAGCAGGCTTACCATACCACACCTCATAAGGAGTCTTCAACTCGATACCTGTGTGAGGTCCACGGTTGATCAGGGAGCACGCCATGTTTACTGCTTCTGCCCAGAATCTTCTCTCTAGTCCAGCATTAGAGAGCATGCACCGTGCTCTCTCCAACAATGTCTGGTTTATCCTTTCTGCAACGCCATTCTGCTGGGGTGTATCTCTCACGGTCCGATGACGGGCAATCCCTTCATCCTTGCAGAATTCGTTGAACTCAAAATTACAGAACTCCAGACCATTGTCCGTTCGCAGCTTCTTGATCTTCTTCCCGGTCTCATTCTCCACCAATGTCTTCCACTGCTTGAACTTCGTGAAAGCCTCACTTTTCTGCTTCATCATGAAAATCCAAGTAAATCTCGAATAATCATCAATAATAGACAGAAAATATCTGTTGCCTCCAATGGATTCAACTCGTGAAGGACCCCAACAGTCGGAGTGGAGGTAATCCAGTATCCCCTTCGTCCGGTGGATACCCTTCTTGGGAAACTTGCTGCGATGTAGCTTCCCAAACACACAATGCTCACAGAATTCCAAATTCTGCACCTTGTGCCCGCAAAGAAGATCCCTCTTCGGCAGAACTTGCATCCCTCGTTCACTCATATGCCCCAGTATCATGTGCCAGAGAGTGGTCATATCTTCCTGTTGAACTTGAGACTATGCAACTGCAGCAGAACCATACAACACAGACCCTTGTAATGCATACAAGGTCCCACGCTTCACGCCCTTCAGTACCTTCCTCGAACCCTTGCAGACATACACAACTCCACCTTTTCCTTTGAAGCTGAAGCCCTTGCTGTCGAGTAGACTCAAGGAGATCAGGTTCTTTGTCATTCGTGGAACATGCCTGACATCATTCACGGTACAGAACGAACCATCATGTGTCCGAACCTTTATGGACCCGATTCCAACAATCTTGCAGACAGCTCCATTAGCCATGACCATGTTACCACCATCTATCTGCTCGTAGGTTGTGAAGCAATCCCTGTTCGGAGCCATATGGTATGAGGCTGCAGTATCCAGAAACCACACATCACCACGATGTGCCTTCTCATCTACAGCCAAGGCGAGATCGTCTTCAGAACTGTTGTCCACTTCTACCACGGCAACTGAACCTTGTTTCTTCTGTTGCCCTCTTCTCTTGGGACAGTTGTACTTCCAATGCCCCACTTCCTTACAGTTGTGACAAGCATCACCTGGTTGTGGACCGGGACCCTTGGAATTCTTGCTCGAATTCCCTTTACCAGATTTCTTCTTTCCTTTTCCACCTGTAACAGCCAAACCCGATGCCTCACCACCTGTACCAAATCCAGACGCCTTATGCCTGATCTCTCTCGTATGAAGAGCAGACCTGACATCCTCCAACGACACGCTTTCTTTACCAGCAATAAAAGAATCAACGAAATTCTCATATGAACTCGGCAAAGAAACCAGCAGGATTAGGGCAGCATCATCGTCATCAACTTGAACATCTATATTACGCAGATCCAGCAAAATAGAGTTAAGCTGTTCGAGATGTTCCCTCAAAGGCGTACCTTCTTGCATCCTCAAGCTGAACAACCATTGCTTGAGATGCAGCTTGTTGGTTAGAGACTTAGTCATGTACAGACTCTCAAGTTTCAACCACAAGCCCGCGACAGTCTTCTCAGCAGCGACTTCAATGATGACGTCATCAGACAACGATAGCATGATGGTCGAGTGGGCCTTCTCCTCCAGGGTATTCCACTCATCATCATCGATCGTTGCCTTCTTCTGTTTCGCAAACAGCGGGCCCCACAGCCCTTGCTGTTTTAATAAAGCCTGCATCTTGATCTGCCATATAGCGAAGCTGTTCTTCCCCGTGAACTTTTCGATCTTCATGTTCACCGATGTCATTCTTCTGAATCGAAAACCCTAGCCTGATTTCCAACCAGGCTCTGATACCACTTGTTATAAACGCGCTGCTACGGATCGGGAAATCGCCGGAATCGACAAAGCAAGAATACGAAAGCGAGAATCAAAAAACACAGACACACGATTTACGTGGTTCACTAACACGATGTGTGTTAGTTAGTCCACGAGCGAGAGAGAGCCAGTTTCACTATATTGAGGAGATTACAGATTACAGAGGAGCGAGACCCCCGATTACCAGTCGTAGCGGCTGATAGTCCGATTCAAGTCACCTCAACAGTTTCCGATCAAAGAAGGACCACTGACTGTTGACGGAGCCAGTCCCAATCGATGACCGCCGAGTCCTGTTTCCTGTAGTGCGTGCTCCCGGCGTCTATCACCATCACACTTCATCTCACCATGATTTATAATCTTCCACAAAGCCAGCATGCATCCTGCCGGCAGATGGGAACGAACGTCGACCCTGGTTACGACGGAACTACTACTGGTGAAGGCTGCATCATCGAACCCGGCGATTCCCGATTAGCAATGGCGAACACGATCAGCAGAAAACCCTAATCCAGGTTCGGCAGTTCGAGAAGAAGTGAAGTTTGGGTTTTGGGGACTGGTGCTTACTCGTCACTTCCTCTGCTTCCTTCGTTTGAATGGTGTAGCTATGGGTTGTTAATCTACAGATTATTTGCTCTTTTATAGGTCTAGTCATGGTGAAAAGGTAGGAAGGGGTCGGCCGAGAAGCTCCAGCGGCACAGCAAGTCGGAAGCCTCAATATTGGATTGGGGGGGGGGGGGGGGATTAGGGCTGCGGATGGACCATATTAGATAGGGTAATTTTTGTAATTTAAAAATGATGTTGCAATTACGTGGACAAGGTCAGTCTAGGTGGAGGTGTCGTTCAGGTGGTGGTCACGTCAGCGCAACATCCAGTAAACTAACGGAACGGTCGTTGTCGTTATAATATTTAACGAAATGGCTAAATTAGTCAAACAAAATTTTAAAGTGTGACTATAACTGTGTATTATTCAAAAGGTGACTATTGTTGGCAAAAAGTATAAAATTGTGGCTATACATGTATATTTTGCCTAAATTACACTACTAAGACAAACAAAGCTATATATGTTGAAACCTCAATTAAGTAAAATATGTAATCATAAACCTGCTACGAGGTGGGTGAAATGTAGCTCCTATTTTCTCATATCATATAATTGCATAGCAATTGTACATATGCACTTAGACCTCGTTTGCTTCATGGAATTGATCATGGATTTGGTACTTAAAAATCAAGCATCATGGACTTTGTACACAATCCGTCGTTTGCTTGATGGAATTAGGAGGAATAAATATGTGGGCCCCACGGACTAAAGAATTCCACCCCAAGAGTAGGGATGTCAATTTCGACCTGACCCGTTTTATCCGATCTGTTTGGCCTGTTTTGGGGCGGGTAACACCCGCCCCGTAGGTGGGGCGGGGCGGGCATGGGTATTCTCATGAATCTCATCGACCCGACCTGTCCTGACCAGCCCCATTCTCGACCCGTTCTTGTCTAAATTACATGTAAGTTTAGTCAAACTACTTAGGATTTTCCTTTTATTACATCATATTTTAGCTATAATAAAGTTATAAATTAGTCAAAACCTCAATTTATCCAATAATTTAACTACATTTATCATAATATTGTTTGTTTCCTTGGTCTTATAATAAAAAGAACGCATATTTCTAATGTATTTCATATAAATTGCATACCCATTGGGTCGACCTGCCCCGACCCGTGACCTGTGATAAATTATCTGACCTGCCACGGGACGGGTCTGGGTACCAAGAAACCCGCCTCGGGCCTGCCCCATTGCCATTCCTACCCAAGAGGTGGGATTTGTGTTGGGGTACAAAGTCCATGATGACTTTTTACAATTTTAACCCTACTAATTTCACTAATCACCTATTCATCCTCTTTCATTTACTAATTACCAACTTGAAGTGCATATTAATTTTGCATTCAATATTTATTATTATTCATTGCACGAAAGCACTACATGATTAATCGCAAAGCATACTTTGTAATATTGAAAACCTTAAGGAATTGTCTAATTGTGTGTATAATATGATGTTGTTATTGATTAATGATGTTCATTTATTCCGATTGTGGTAGAGGGACGAACCTATTGGATGAAACTTGTTTTAAACAAAAATTACAGTGTAAATATAAATAATACTCAATAAGGGCACTAAGGTAAATTCCTAATACAAGCACAAATATAATAATGCCAAATCCATTATGAAATTCAACAAGTAGACAATGGTTTGTACCAAAAACCAAATGGGGCAATTCCATCATATATCCATGGTTTTGTAAAACCCAGGTTTTAACCAAAACCTTCATTTTTCAAATCCATGAAGCAAACGAGCCTTAGAATAAAACTATCCAAACTGATTTGAAAAAAAAAAAAAAAATTTATGGCACCACGCATTCATTTTCGACAACTTTTGTATTGTCGTCATCAAGTAGTTGGTATTCTGAATTGTCATCTCCTTCATTTATTTTGGGGACGTTTGTACTGAAATCTTGTTCACTGTCACAACCATTCAAATCCAAAATTAGTTTTGAGATCCATTCGACAAAGTCCTAAACTTTCTGTATGTGGGAAACAAAGTAGTAGCGCGATTGTGGGAACTTACTTAACAGAGTAGGTAACTATGCCAATGGTGACTATCAAGAAGGCAAGGAAGTAGAGCCAATCCACCTGCATCAATCAATGCCAATTCCCACATTATTGATCATGAAGACATAACACCATATATTTCATAAGCAGCATGGCAACTAATAATTCTTTGCAGCCTTGAAAAAGCTCATTACCTTTTGACCATAGAAAAATATGCGAATAAGTACAGCCCACATATCAGAAGTTAGGATGGAGAGGTTGAACAAGGTGGCTCCACTCAACTGTGACAATGGCCGGAAAAAAAATTATTTGTACAATTGTACACAATCAAATGAGTTATATCTCCTATATTTTTGCTTTGCTTCACGGCGAGCTTCACGGCGAGTAATTTTTACCTTCAACACATAAGGAGTGAGTGTATAGTATGAAAATATAGATATTGTATAGCCAGCGATGGCTAATACCTGAAACCATAAATAAGATAAGATCTCCAAACATATCGAACCAGAGCAAAGTGAAATTTTTAGCGGGTAATGTGCTTAGTTACTTACAATATTCACAGACCAATTTAATGATTTAATACTCTCGCGTTCGAATACAAATCTACGATTCAGAAGTTAAAGAAAATCGTTCGAAATCAAAATTATTATATGGAATAACCGTTATAAAACAAAAAACTAATTTATTAGAAGGATACGACTCGACCAAGCTGACAAGTAGACCGAAAACACCAAGCATCATGACAACTTCAATCCTGTCTCTCCTCTTCACACAAAACTCCTGCAATTCTCAGCAGACCAACCGTCCGTAATCAGAGAGGGTTACATTGCCTCAAAACCAGCAAACGTTATGATTAATATATAGACCAATATTGATATCAATCAGCCTTCTTAGCTCAGTGGTAGAGCGCGTGGCTTTTAACCACGTGGTCGTGGGTTCGATCCCCACAGACGGCGAGTTACTTTCCGACACAATTTTTTTGTACTGTGTTAAAACTTAAAAGTATAAATAGAAGTTATAGAACTGGTGAGAAAACTCCAGACCTCGCCTACATTGCTGAGAGCAAAGAAAATGGTTCCGCCGATGACTAGCGTGTCGCCCAGAAGAGGCCTCGAACCGCCTGCCAAGAGTTTTTTGTCGGTAATGGAGTTAATTTTTTTTTTTTTTTTTGTAGATGCAATGAGTATTGATCAGATAAACTAGTCATGTGTGGGGACTGGGGAGAGGAGATCACCTGCGCCACCGCCCACCCAAGCGTCGGAGAAGAGAACCAGAGCAAGGCCGAGGACGCAAATGGCGGAACCAAGAAGCTGGAGGATGGAATAGCGAGTCCCCAGGACCAGCCACGTCAGGATGATGACCCACAGTATGGTCCAGCAATCCAGCAGCGTCACACTCGTAATTGACGAGAATTGGTACGCTTTGTTCACTGCGAAAATCACCCGCCGAAAGGCCAGAGCAGGGGAAACGGAGAACAAGACATTGATGAGAAAACAGAGCACAAACCATGGCAGAGTAACATTCAGTTAAGAAAGAAAATTGAAGCAAAAAAATTGTGCTAGCCAAGTCTTTGTACCCAGATAATTGCCCTGCACATCGATGAATCCCAGGAGGAGATACCAATACCAAGCAACCTGCAAAATATGATGGTCTAAGGCCACGAAAAGAACAGAGTTTGTTTTTAGATGTACTCTTTTTGTTGATTACCTGTAGCTTATGGCGTCTGTGAAGGAATATGCCGCCGTAAACTAAGGCCAAACCGAAGTAGCTGAAGCAACTCTGGGCGATGGGTGCATCAACTCCTGAGAGCAAACAGTGAAAATTAACCCAATGATTCAGAGTCTAAAATGGTGGGGGAATGATGAATCCATCTGATTGTATCGCATTTGTTTTCATGGATGATGTGGGTTACCAAGAGCGGCGACGAGGGAAGAAGAGAAGCTGGTGAGGGCAAGGGAGAAAGAAACGGCCTGGCCCAGAAACATCACCCACAATGTCCTCCTCAAGTTGCTCTGCTCCATGGCTAAGCTAGCTTTTGATTTTGCAAGGTTGGGGTAATTTTGTTTTTATTTGGGAAATTTTGTAATGGGAAGACGCGAAGGGGACTATGGTAGATTGAGATTGCCAGTGCTGGAACGTTGGTTAATGGTTAGTGTGTAAAAAACGTGCCACCCGCCGTTCAATATGGAGCAGGGGTTGTGCGGGCGTGTGAACCATTTTACAACCAACGGTTAGGTACATTAGACGTGTGAATTTAGTACCCATTCATTTCATTATAAATGTTTCAATAAGATTGATCCAAGTTAAAGCTGATCATTCTCGGTATAAGCCAGAGGAGTAATATATCACAGGAATTTGACAATAGAGAGTCACTGACACGATTTTTCAAATGTCGCCAAATTTCTTTTAATTAATGTACGCCTAAACTTAAACTTAAAGTTAATGGTATGGTATATCTCATCCCATACCATTAATGGTATGGTATATCTCATTAATAATCAATGCAAAAAAATGTTCCGAGGAGCTCTGTCCTCTCTCCTCCATTTTCTTTCGTCGGTGGTCGCCTTCTCTCTCACCATCGTCGGAGAAGCAATCTGGAAATTGGTGGTCCGGGTTTTGATAGTAGCCTTTACTAATCAAGGGATACAATCTGAGCTTTGTTTTGAGCGGCGCCTTGCGGGGGAGAAGTTAGGGGATCTGAAGCATCCCCAACCGGCGACGCAGGAGGCGAATCAGCGGCAGGAGGAAGTAAAGTCACGTCCCTGCTGTTGGAAAAGAAGGAGTGGTAGGGAACTTGATAGACCTAATCGAAAGAGAGGACTACCGAACGAGTCCCTGTTCAGTGATAGAGTTAAGAAGCGATTACGGCGAGACGTTTCGCCAGGGTGGCGATTCCGTATTCCTTCTCAAGATGAGATTGACGACTTGCTAGGGGGAACTACTCCTTTGAAGTCGGTAATTAAGCCCAATGATCTGGTGGATTCTGGGCAGGAGGTACTCAGACCCCGGAATGGGGCGAGGACTTTAGGAAGGCAGGCGTGGGTTTTCAAGATCCCGTCGGCAGGAGAACAGATTGAGGATGAGGAAATTCTTCGTGGAAATCTTCCTTGTCCGGGATTGGCAAGTGGGCCGATTTTATTTTTCGACTCAGTGATGCCAGGTTTCAGACCCCGGAATGGGGCGAAGCCTGGACCTAAAAGTGTAGGAAGAGAGGGGTGGGTGCCGGAGATTAGGCCGGCCGGCTGTCGTCTGGTGAGGCCCTCCTGGCCGGATCTGAGCCGGCGACATTGCCTCTTGAGAAACCTAGTTGGGTTTGGTCTGTCAACGGATCAAGGAAGAATCCCTCCCTGGCTCGAATACAAAGTCCTTCTAACCGTCAGATTTGTGTAAATCGCGGTGGGGAATCTTTCAAATCAGATTTGCACAATCGTAAGAGTAGTATCCTACTCCAACTTGTCCACCCCTGGCGTATTTCTGTTCAGCCCCAGCGGGTTTATTTAAACCCCCCGACTGGTCCCTTGTTTCGTACATGCTCCACTGATAGAAATCAGGTGGTCGAACAAGAAGACTGGCAGCGAAACTTAGTGCAGCCCGAGAAACATTCTTTCTCTGGTAAGTGGTCTCTGTACCCAGCTGAACTTCTACTTCGCGTTTCGGGAGATAGCAAGACCATGTTCATTATCTGTTACATACTTTGGGGGTTCCCTGTTTCTGTAGCGATGAGTCTCGAATTGGCTTATAATTTCTTGGCTGACTCACGGCAGGTTCAGGTGGAAGCCATGGCGCGGATCACGAATGACCAGGTGGTGGAGTTCTCCCTTGACGAGATCCAAGCTACTCGTATTCGGAAAGCACGTATGCTTATTGGTCGGCTTTTTTCTGATGATCGTCTATCCACTGCCGAGCTTCGGGATGCGGTGAATCGACCATGGCAGGGCCAAGGTCGTATAATTGTACGGGAGATGGCGCATGGGCTTTTCGAGTTCACTCTCCCGTCGGAAGCATCTAAGTCTTGGGTTTTACAGCGAACCCCTTGGATTGTTGCTGATAGAGTTCTTCATTTGAAAGCATGGGTCCCTTCCATCTCCCGTACCATTTTTGAGGAACTCGCGTTTGTCCCGTTTCGTATTCAATTATGGGATATTCAGGAGGACTGCTGTACCCATCAATTTGGGCGGAAGATAGTTACGTCCACTATAGGGCGGGTTTTGGAGGCTAACGTTTTCTCTAGTGCTGACAATGCGCGGAAATTTGTTAAAGTGAAGGCGCTGGTGGACTTCTCCAAACCACTAAGATCCCAGATCATGGCAACGAATGATGAGACTAGTGATTTTTGGATCCGTTTTAAGTATGAATTTCTCCCAACGTTCTGTTTTAAATGTGGACGTGTGGGCCATGCTCGTCAAACATGTCGTTTTGATCCCCCAACAAGAAGGGAGAAATTTGGGCCTCATATGTCCACAAAGGAAATGGGAAGAAAGATTTTTGATGGTGATGAGGCGCGCCCTCAGGCCCAACGAATCCCACGGTCAGTGTGGGTTAACACTGAAATTCGTGGGCTTCAGGCTGCTGGCTCAGGCCCAGACCGTCCAATTCCTGGGCCGAAGGGACAACTTACAGCTACTGAAGCAAGGGAGACGATGGACTCCAGAAAATTTGGGCCGAACAGACCTGCCAGCCTTGGGCCTGAGGAGGGATCGGTTAACCCGGTTCGGATGGGATCGAAGTCAACACAGCCAGCTTCTATAGACACTCGTGGGCTGGGGCGAAGCCCAAAACGTTTCCCGGTGGCTAAAGGGGCTCGGCTTGCCAAAGGAATCTCTTCCCGTCGCGGGAAGCCCAAGTTTAGACGACCCCTGAGCCCAATGGACATCGATGGCCCAAATGAAGGGCATGTTTCAGTTGGGGAGAAGACACGGGCTAGGGTGGCGGCTGCTGGTGACATGTCTAACCAGACTAGAAAGAAGGGGGAGCTGACTCGTCTCGCCGGCAGGGGAAAGCAGCCTCAGTTCTGGGTGGGTCGGTGGTTTCTAATCCAAATAAGGCTGAAGGGAAGACCCGCCCGAGGCGGCTGATTCTTGAGGAAGAATCGGAAGATGAAGTCCTATTCAGTGGCATCTCCGTCGTAGCCCAGGAGAAGAGTGTAAGTGCAGCTGGTCTTTCCTTTCCCTGCAACCTGCCGGCCGAGGTGGTGGTGGACGCGGTCCCCCTCAGGCAGATTCCCCCTGCGCTGAACTCGGATGCTGGGCTGCGGCACAGTTCCGGGCAGTCGACCCGCCGTGAGCCTCAGACCCGTGAGTCTTCGTCGGATGGAGTTAGTGGGGCGGTGAAGCAGGCACAATTTCTGCAGGAAGAGGAATTGCAAAGGAAAGGGAAAGGGCAGGATATGGCGGGGAAGGTGGATGGAGTGGTGAAGCCGAGTCCTGCCTCTTGGGAATCGGATGTCTCTGTATCGGAAGAAGATCGTGGTCAATTTGAAGTTCGACGAAGGACACCCCAAGGCAAGGCTACTTATAAACGCCTGGTCCGCACAAATCGAGTTCACCAAGTGATCCAAGCCTTTGAGAAGGGGATGACCATGGTTGAGATGGAGCGCCCAGTGGAGTCGCACCCAGTTCATAATGGGGAGGCTTTGAAGGGCATTTCCATTGACGAATATGGCTCGAATATTTCTGAAATATCTCCAGGCAACAAAAAGCGACACTTGGAGGAGATCACAAGGGATGATGAGGAATACCCAATTCCCAAAAAACAGTTTGTTGAAGATTTGGAAGATGCTGATAAGGTGGAGGAAGCCAGCCTGGAATGGCCCCAAGCAGATAAATGAGGCTGTTGGCCTGGAATGTGAGAGGAATTGGACCATCCCTCACATTCCAAACTGCTTTTAGTTTAATGCACTCTAATAAACCGGATCTCGTGTTTTTCTCGGAAACGCGATCGAAACGGAAAGTAGTTGCTCGGCGCTTGCGGGGTTTAGGTTTTCTTCGTTCTTGTTGTTTCTTCGTTGATGCGATTGATGCATCAGGTGGTTTGGTTGTTGGTTGGTCCCCCGAAGTTGATGCTTCGGTGTTTTTTCAGTCGGATTTTTGTATTTGTGTTCGTATTAATGAAATGAACGTTTCCTATGTGGTGATCTTTGTCTATATTAGTTGCCATGCTGATATAAGAGCCACCCAACTTTTTCAATTGCGTGAAATTTGTGGTGCTCTGTCTATTCCCTATACGATCATAGGTGATTTTAACACCACTCTCCATGAATGTGAGAAGGATGGAGGTAATCAATGGAATGCTAGTCATTCTGTTAGTCTCCGGGATTTTATCCTTGATATGGGCCTCATTGATCCAGGGTACCAGGGGGATCCGTTTACCTGGACGAATAAACGAATGGGTACTGCGTGTATTCGTGAACGGTTAGATAGGGCTCTTTGCTCTCAATCTTGGTTGGATCGTTATCCGGATACCCTGGTGAAACACTTTACAGACCAAGGATCGGATCATCAGGCGCTCTTGTTGTCTGACAAGCCCTATGTCCGTAATAGTCGACCTCTTTTCAGATTCGATGCGCGTTGGGCAGAGAATCCCGAAGTTCGAGCCATGGTGACCTATGTTTGGAAAGAAGAAATTCAAGGAACACCCATGTTTAGATTGTGGGAGCGCCTCAAGAAACTTCGCCACCTTCTGTATGATTGGAGCCGTGCGGGAACGACCAATTCACTGAGAAACATCAGGACCCTGCAGGCTGAAATAGATCGGATCAAGCAGGTTCATCCCATTGACTGGGTTACTGTCCATGCCCTTGAGATGGAGTTGGGTAGGCAGTGGGAAGCGGAAGAAGAGTACTGGCAACAAAAATCCAGGGTTCGTTGGCTTAAGAAGGGGGACAAAAATTCATCGTATTTTCATACGGTGACAAGGACCCGTCGGAAAAGGAATTTTGTGAGTGGCCTTCGGGATGATGCGGGAGAATGGGTAACTGATGAGAAGGGTAAAGCAGATATTGCTACTGATTTCTATAGTACCC